AGAGGAGCCTACAGTATATCACATTCAATTACAACACACTCTTACAGTACTCTATGTTTTAATGGACATCAGATCTGCCATTCATTTCATAGTGATTGAGGGGCACAAACATAATCCCTGTTCTCTCTCTCTCTCTCTATTCACTATAATTCACACACAAATTGAAAATTATTTGCTTTAATTTTGTCAATTTTAATTATATTGGTTATGTATTTGTAAAATAATGTAATATGAAATGCTTTGAATAAAAACAGCGCTTTATATCACAATTCAATAATTTCAATGAATTATCAAAAACTTAACAATTTATTTTTTATATAATTCATTGATTTGATGATAATTTTGGATTTACATTCAAATCGACCAATTTTCTGGCACCTCATCGCACAGTTTCTGCAAATATACATTTCACATATTTATTATTTTAATTCAACAACATTTTGCTGTAATTGTTTGTTAATTTCACTTTTATTCATACCAAATAGCATTATTATTTATAATGTATAATTTAGCTTAAATTACAATAAATAACTTTTAAAAATATTATTATTAAGTAAATATTGTTTTAATATAATTTTAAATGTGTTTGGCTTTAGATGATGAACCAGAAGAGCCAAAGCTTACAATTTTAACAAAACAACACAAGAATGCAATTCGATCTCTAAGAAAAGTATTAATCAATAGTTTTGTTTGAATGAAAAATAATAAATATTTTTGTTTATATTTTAGATTAAATATTTTGTCGCTCGAAGAAAATTTAAAGAAGCGCTTAAACCGTATGACGTGAAGGATGTTATTGAACAGTACTCTGCCGGACACGTAGACCTCTTGGCCAGAGTCAAGAATGTACAGCAAAGGTATGCATCCAATAATGCCATGCAATATGTCTTTTCTCTTTCATCGAAATCAATCAAATTGTCGATCCATTACACAAATCATCAATTCTTTGTTCATTATATTTGTAGATATTTTTATTTAGTTTTTATACGTATTTCTAGAATAATAATAAAGATTCAACTATTTTTTGAATTCTTATAAATTCACATTTGAGTTATAAGTTTATAGTGAAAGTTATTTTGTATGGAAAAGAATTATTCATTATTTTTTGTTGTTTATATTTATTTGGAGTTTTATGCAGTATAATAATGTAAGAATGCAGTTATGTCTTTGAGCAACACATCACACAAAAAGACTTTCATTTAATGATATAGTTTGATGACAATTGCTATACACTATACAGAGTTGTCCATAAGTAGCTAGAGTTTTAATTAATTTTTTAAAAATACTTAGAGTTGAGATATTTTGTTCAAGTAAAGTTTGTTTTGATCACAAAAGTGTATAGTTTTTTTAGCACATGATTTGATTTGATTAAAATGGCATCTACAAAAACTGTGTACACCACTAAACAGAGGATCATTTTCATCGAGCTGTATATCGAGAATGCGCGATCGACTACGGCAACCTTGCGCAAATTCAAGGCAAAGTATGGGCAAAGTGTGACCTTAACTTTGACCACAATCACCAAGTCAGTTTTTGAGGGGAGGGCTTTTTTACCCGTAA